TGCGTTTCAGACAGTCGACGCTTTCAAAAAAATATTTGCAAGAGCTAAAAGTTCAAAGTCTTTGAGAGAATCAAAATTTGGGCTTGAGATCGTATGTTGGCGAACAGTAAAATCTGGGAAATGACTTCGCTTTTCTTACCTCGAAGGCTAATGCAACAAAATTTTTTTTGCCAGTGGCATTCTTCGTTTTTAAATTACTAATTTTGGAGAACATGAAGAGCGTTTTAATCCTCGGACATTTACTTCAAACCATTTAGCACATCAGTCTTTTAAAAATTTCGCTTACGTTTTTTCTGACTACTGAGTCCTGAAATTTGCCAGGATATAGACTTGTGACCATAAGTCAGGTCAGAATGATTGTTCGAAGTAAGCTCTTAAGTTATTTGCATTGGACTACAGCGAGGATTTAAAGATCCGGAAATTTCAAATTCTTAGCTTTCTGATTCAAGTGCTCAAAAATTGCATTGGATTCGAATTTACGGTCGGGCGCAGAAAATGATATAAGTTGATTGCAAAATCGGCTCACTTTTATGTGTTTTTGCGCAGACGCAAAAACGCATGGAAAATCAAATTTATCAATATTTCTAGCGCTGTATCACTCGAAGTAAAAGGGCATAGGGTTTTCCTGCTTTTAGCCTCTAGTTTTCTTCCACTATCTCAATCCAGAGTATCATTCAAAACTACAAAGAATTATCGCCGCTATTATTATCAAAATAGAAATTTCATCTTATCATCCCTCTCAAATTCTTCCTTATCATGATTCGTAAATTTTTTCGTATCACAATTCGCAAGGCCTCCCTCATCATTGGGCACAAATTTTTTTTTTTGTTCTTCAAATTTTTTCTTCTTACGCTATTTGCACTGAAAAGCAAATGGGTTTTAAGATCTGGAAATTTTCAGCTCGTGACTTCCTTATTCCTGTGCTGTGAAATCACTTTGGGTTTGAAAGTAAAAATTCTTATTTATCATGACTTCAGACTTTTAACTGATGGTTTTTTATTACAAATCCTTCATCACTTTGATCTACAATCACAGTTCCTAAATTTTTTCTTGCTGTGATTCTCAAATTTGGCTTTATTGTAACCCATCTGTCAAAGTAAAAAATTTCTTCTTACCATGAACAACAAAATTTAAATCATCATGGTCCACAGATGTTTGGTTATCATGAGTCTGAGATTTTTACCCGCTGAAGTTAACAAATTTCTCTCTATGGTTTGCAAACAAAATCGCTTTTTTATCATAATTAACAAGGCTGTTCGAGCTGGGGGACAGATTAGCTGGAATATTGTAAATATTTTTCCTTATTTTGTTTGACAAATTCTTTTACGACGTAATGAAATACTTGAAGTGATTTATGCTGCATATATCGCTAAGAAACAAATAATATATATCGCT